GGCTGGAGTTGCACCACATTGAGGATCTGTCAGTTCTCAAGTCTGAAATATGTCCAGTGAGGTGGGCAACCAGTGCAGTCAGCACATGGCCCCAGTTCTAACCATACAGATGTAAATCCAGAAGGGCCTTGCTGCCTCTATGGGGAGTGTTCAAGATTTTTGCCTGTGTGTAGGCAGAGATGGACCTAAACCAAGGTAATTTCAAAACCCTCAACAACAAGTACCTGACAACTCTTTGGTGACATGAATTTTTTTAAGCCTAAGGACTGGATCTTGGTAGACCTGGCTTCCAAGTTGGTGTCTGCCCATGCATCCTCTCTGAGGCCCTCTGCACATTATAAGTGTTCATGGTGGCCAGATTTCCCCCTGAAAAGCAGGACTAGTCATCTTACCTTTCTTTTGCTGTCTCTCTGCAGTGCCCAGTTAGCCCGTAAGCCTGACTTTGTGTGGCATAGCCTTTTTCTTACTGTTGATGCAATGACAGAGGGATCAGAGATTATGTGTTTTCTGTGCACTATAAAGTGGGACAGTGGGATTTGCTGGCCTGAAGGCAGCTAGCTAAAAGTGAGTGGTAACGACTGTGAGTAAGTGCCTGGCTTCTCAATGGCCAGTCAGCTCCACTATCTGGGGTGGTGAATCACTCACAGGGAGAATGGTTTCTCTCCATTGACCACAGAGTGATCCTAAACGTGACCTCCACCTCTCCCAGATGGGCCCTGCCCTGCCTGTGGGTGCTGCTGTGTGAGACAGGAGGCAGAGGGCAGGTGGAAAGGGAGTGGGAGCTCAGCACTACCAAATTGTGGTGAGGGTTTAGCAGATCTTTAAATTCCATTTGCGGTCCGTTTGGTTGGTGGGGAGAGATGAGTAGTGCCAGGAGGAAACTCACAGCAGTGAAGCTCCTGCTCTGAAATGCTATGCAGAGGGACTGCCTTTCTCCAGTGGCTCAGTAAGAAGCCTCAGATGGGTTAGGAGAGCTTCAAACACTTTGAACTCTCTTAGCAGGGCAACGTAAATGCCTTATTCAACCAGGACATGTCCAAACCCTCCTGTGTGGGGCAGCACTCAGCTACCCTGGGCTGGGAGCAGATGTGACTGAGGTCCCGCAGCACCCTTCCAATAACCTAGGCTCCTTGGAAACATGCATTTCCAATCAAAGTCAGTCCCTTCTTGAGAGACATGGGAGGAAACTGGAGGGGCTGAACTTCCCCATCCTTCCCAGAAAATGAGCTTTCTCCCAGCTCTTATGATACCACACAAAAATTGGTATTTCATTGTTGCTTTTTATTCTGTTAAAACATTTGTACTCTCTCACCACGCACACTCATGTAGAAAAAAAGAGCTGTACATAGAGTATGAGTGCTTTCAACTTTATGTAATCTCCTGCTGAATTTGATCAAAACCTCAGGAAGTGAATTATACAGACAGTAGTAAAAAGACAGCACAGATCCTTTATTTTGGCTTCCTTAGACCCAGAATATGAATAGAAGGCTCCACTTTATTCCAGTGATGATAAAAGGCAATCTTCAGGTCTTAAATTTGAAAAAAAAATACAAGTTGATGCTAAGGTTGATAGGAGACATTGTATTGTAGAGGAGTGGAAAACAGGAGCAGGAGTAGGAGTAGAGAAATAAAAAGGTGGAGTGTAGGAGGAGGAGGGTGGGAGTAGAAAATGAATTGTGGTGCATCCATCAGCATTTCAGCATTGTGGGAGACGAGATAAACCTAATGCTGTCATTTGTAGATGCAGAAAAATTTCTTGTACTGAGCCATGACTGTGCTGAGCTGTTTTAGGAGCTGGAAGCTCCCCTTCAGCAGCAGAATGGGTGGGTTTGTTCACTGTGGCATCTCCTAAGTGTGGTCAACAGTGTTGGAGTGCACTGGGAGAGCAGTGTAGACAGGGTTAGACATTTGTATTGTGCATTGCATGCATGTCACTTTGTTGCTTTGACTCTAAAATCTGTTAATTTGATCCCCAAATACTCGACGGAGAGAAGAAATCCTAAAGAAAAGTGGAGAATCATGCATGCATGGACTGGGGCCTTAAAGAAGAACTCACCTGGGCAGTTCTGCCAAAGTCAGAGTAAACTGCCAGCATTACTCATCCCAGGAAAGGTCTCATCGGCCTTCATCCTTCCTCCAAACCTCAGCAGACCTGGTCCCAGCCATTAGCAAGCACTAGTCAAAATCCCTGCAGCAGAGCTCAGCCGTGCCTGTTGTGTTGTGAGTCATGGGGACCCACTTGCTGAGCAAATGCAGCATTTGGAAGATTCTGGTTTTACCCTCTCTACCTCCATGTCCTTCACCCTTCACTGCAAACTGCTGTCTGTACTCACTGTATACACTGCTAACTTTTGAGCTGCAAGAACATCAGTGATATCAGGCACAAATGTGGCAGAGCCCCACCAAGAAGGTGAGGTGAGCAACAGTAATGTCATGTAGGGCCAAGAAAGGGGGAGTATAACCACTGTCCTGCAGAATGAGTTGGGCTGAACCATGGACACACCAGGGCTTCCTAAAAATCCCCCAGCAGTAGCTTTCTTCCCAGTTTTCACAGTTGGCATCTGAAAAAATGAAAGTTTTTTTTTTCAACATCTATGTATACTAATTGAGTTCAGGGAATAACATCTCTACTTTTGACAAAATAAAAGAGCAAGGACTACAAGACTAAAAAAAAGTCCTTAGAAGAAAGCCTGGGTAATAAATCCATTTCCTTTAGAAGGATGGGTGCCAGTCTGGCTCTTAGATCTCTTTTTTTTAGGAACCCAGGAAAGAAAAAGTGCTCTGTGTTCTTGAGCACTTCTTTTGTTTTGGCTCCCATTTAAACACATCCATTCGCTGCACGTCCCTGGCTGCTTCTCACCATTATATAACCTCTGCTTCTCCTAGGCAGGGTGCTCTCCCCTATTGCAGGGCAACTACTGCAGCTGAGTTGTGTAACACTGCCACATAAAGCTGTTCCAAGTTGAACATGGCATGCAAGTTATTAGCTTGAACTGTGACTATTTTTCTTGCCTTTTTTTTTTTTAACTGAAAAAAAAACCTGGAAAAAAAAGGTGTTTAGGTGTTTTCTAAAATCTGTGGGCTAAACAATATAAACTTGTGGGTTGAATTCTTTAAAGGATTTACAAAACATAGAAGTGACTTAGAGGCAAAGCAACTCTGAAATCTGACAAGCAGCCAACCTATAATAAGGTATAATCACCTTTGGCATTTGGTAAAATAAACATGACAAAAAAAGTGCTTTAAAATGTGAGCACTTAATATGCACTCATGCATATTTTGCACAAACTATATAGTTGGGTGTCATTGTGTATGTCTTAAAGAGTGTTTTCATAATAGACAGCGTGTGTATCTAGATGTATGATCTGCCACTAAATTACGTGCTGTGGGCCTAAATCCAGTCTTGTACTCTCTCCCCTTCATTATTGTTACTCATTTTCAGAAAATATTTTTATATGAACAATGAACTGCATTTAAATAACATTAACACTCTCTGCCTTGATGCATAGAGGAGGGAAGAAGAGTAACAGGTTTTCTGGCTCAGCTTTGACAGTTACCCAGCTCCGGTGGTTCTTTGACAAGCAACATCAAATGCCGTGGCTGGTTGTGAATTTTGTCACTTACTAAACCATGTCTGAAATATGTTTTTTTAAAGCACTCCTCCTACTGAGAACAAAACAGATTTTCTGAAAAGTAGGGTTTGCCAATTCGAACAAGGTGTTGAGTCGTGCCTCATCCCTGGGATCATTTCCCTAGCTCAAGCAAATGTCTTCTTTTTAAGTTTAAAAAGAGTAACACCTCTGAGTTATGTATGTATGTATGTATGTATGTATGTATATATATATTTCTCTGTATATCTTTGTATGCCGATGGGCTGGGGAGGTAGAGGTGATGTGTCCTGTAACTTCTGCCTTTTTGAAAGAGAGGAATACAAGCTTTAATAAATTGTGTGCCCTTGGGGTTTGCCGGGAAAAATATAAAGTATGTTTAATAGTTGACTTAAAATGAAATTATCCCGCGCTCCCGCGGCTGCGCATGGAATAAAACACCAACTCACGGTATGAAAACACGCTCAGACGAAGGGGAGGTTTATCACTTCGTGAGGCGCAGACACTTTCTGGCAAGGAGCCCGCCTGGGAAGGAGGGAGGGAGCGAAGGAGGGAGCCAGGGCAGCTGTCTCAGCCCCCGGTCCCGTGCGCGGGGGCTGCCAGGGCCCCCGCGGGGCGGGCGGGCGGGCGGACGGGGAGTAGGAGCGCTCCGCTCGGAGCCTGCACTGCCGGGACGCTGGTGGGAACATCCCCTCCCCGCTTCCGCGCACTGCTCCAGCCGCCCCGCTGCATCCGAGGGATGCTCCCCGGCCCCCGCTGATCCCCGGAGGCGTCAGGCACCGGGCCCGTCGATGCGGGCGGCAGGACCCCGCCGGCAGCGGCTGAGGTAGAAACACTCGCGGGTGCATTTTCCGCGGCAATCCCCCGCGGTTCGCCGTGCAGGCAGTTACTGCCTTCGGGCAGCCCCGGCCGCGGGGGGCACCGCCGCCCGCCGCTTCTCACCCCCCTCCGCCGCCGGAAAACAAAAACCACCCAGACACAGCACGGGGGCACCGACACCCTCCTGCCAAACCGGCCCCGCGGCGGGAGGCGGGCGGGCGGTGCGGCGCTGCCATTGGCGCGGCGCGGGCCGTCCCTCCCCGCCGGGAGAAGGAGGAGGAGGAGGAGGAAGGCTGGAGGCGGGCCCGCGCGGGGCGGTCGCTCCAGTCGGTGTGCGCCGGGCGGCCGGGTCGCTTCTGTTTGCAGTTGCCGCGGAGGGCAGGGATCCGGGAACCGGGCAGGGGCAGCGCTTAGAGCGGCAGGGCCAGGAGGTCAGGCCGGAGGTTTAGGGCGGCGGGGCCAGGAGAGTTGGCGGCCGCGCCGTCGGGGCCGCGCCGATCCACGCCCGGAGCCTGCATGGGGCGGCGACGCTGAGCCCCAGCCACCCCACTGCCGCTGCTGCTGCCGCGCTCCCGCCCCGGCCCCGCCATGGCCGAAGCACCGCAGCTGGTGGACATCGACCCCGACTTCGAGCCGCTGCCGCGGCCCCGCTCCTGCACCTGGCCTCTGCCGCGGCCGGAGTTCAACCCGCCCAGCTCGGCCACTTCCAGCCCGGCGCCGTCGTGCGGCGGGCAGCCCGAGGGGGCGGCCGGGGCCGCGGCCGGGGCCACCGCCTCTGGAGCGCTGAGCGCCGACTTCATCAGCAACCTCAGCCTGCTAGAGGAGAGCGAGGACTTCGCGTCGCTGCCCCCCGCCACTGCCCCCCCGGAGGCGGCCGCCTGCCGCTGCGGGGACTTCCCGGCGCCCGAGGCCGGCTGCCGCCTCCACCCGCCGGGACCGCCGCCGGTGCCGCCGGTGCCGCCGCCCGTGGCCGGTCTATCACCGGGCCCCGTGGCCGGGCAGCCCCGCAAGAGCAGCTCGTCGCGTCGCAACGCCTGGGGCAACCTGTCCTACGCGGACCTCATCACCAAGGCCATCGAGAGTTCCCCCGAGAAGCGGCTCACCCTCTCCCAGATCTACGAGTGGATGGTCAAGAGCGTCCCCTACTTCAAGGATAAGGGCGACAGCAACAGCTCGGCCGGCTGGAAGGTGAGAAGCGGGTGGTGGTGGACGCCCCGTCGGAGGGGGGTCCCGGGAGGCTCCGCTGCCGCGCAGGCAGGAGCCGCAGCGCTGCAGGCGGCCGGGCACGCCGCTCTGCCCGGCTGCAAGCTGCCCGCCGCGCAGCCTGCAGTGGTCCGGCTCCACGCTTTGCTTTTAACCTTAAATTTTTACTTCTTTTTCCACCTTTCCAGAGGGAAAACTCTTAAGGGAAAAAAAGCGTCCTAGCCCTCCCGCCGGTGGGGCGCTGGAGGGGCCAGAGCCGCCCCCCCGCTCTCCGCCCTCCTCCCCCCGCCAGCCCTGCCCCGCCGAAAGCAAAAGTTCACGCGGTGTCACGGCGCAGTCCCCGGGCAAACCCGGCGGGATCGCCGCCGCCTCCTGCTCCCCTGGGGCGGCCGGCGGGGCCGGGGTTCAACACTCGTGTGCTGAGGGTGGCCGTGGGAGCACCGCCGCGGCCCCTGGGGCTGCCCGGCCCCAGTCCGTGCCGGCGCGGCAGGGGTTTGCCGTCGGGCGGCGGAGCGGGACAGAGGCAAACAGGGATGGGGAAAGAGCGGAGGCAGGACAAGGGTTGCAGAAATACCGTGTGTTTAATGAGTAAGCCGCAATATTTGTCGTGATGGCTTTGTTAAACTTGGATTGTGGGGGTGCGTCTTTCTCGTGTTACGTGGTGAGACGGAGCTTCTCCCTCCCTCCCGCAGCGCAGTTCCTGCCGTCGCAGCAGACCAGTGGGAGCAACCTGTTGGCGGCCGGGATTTGTGCTCAGTCCCGCGCCGGCCGGAGCCGAGCGGCCGGTGCTGCCCAGAGCCTGGCGGTGGGGCCGGCTGCGGCGCTGCCACCCCTGGCTCCCGGGGGACCCGTTTGCCAGGTCCCTTGTGGCCCCGTGGGCACCGGCTGCCCCCATACGGTTGGAGGGCGAGCCAGACGAAGCTTCCAGTGGGGCTGTGTGGCAGTGCCAGGCCCGTGGTACCCTCCAGCTTTGTATTCCCAGTGGGTGATAAAGTCTTAACGCTGCTGTGAACGAATCCTCTTCCTCCGAGGCCTCTGTCGAGAACGTGTCACCCACCCATGCCCCTATGTGCAGCAGAAGCATGCCGGGTTTCGTGACACTGTTGCATGAGAGTGTCAGAGCGAGTTTTTGCCGTCTGCGTACAGGCAGAGCCTCCTCCGCCCTGCGAGGGATTAAATGATGGCAGTAAATGCGTGAGGTGCACGCACCCAGCACGGCATCGGCGCGTTCTGCTGTGTTCCTTAGTTCCAGTTAGGGCCAGCCAAACTCTTTGCTTCGCTTTGAAGTATTTGTATTATTTGCCTTTTTTAAAAAAAAGAAAGCGTCAACTCAAATCCTTTATTTATGTGTTTTTAATTGCATCACTAGGAATGTCTGTTACATCCGATTTTTGTAAATTCCTGGGGTTTTTTTAGAGGTAAGCAACATCGTGCTAAGGCAATGCAGATTGATCTGTAACTCATTTTAGCTGAAGGCTTTTAAGGCTCGTAAAAGTCGTTTGTTAGTTTCTATCGATGTGTTTGACTAAAAAAATTTTAAAGATAATTGTCTGAAGACATCTGTCACGAAAAACTTTAATAGGAGTGAAGTGATTGATAGCTGACAACTTTTAAATAAGGTAACTTGTCACTTGGAAATGCTGGGGTTTTTTTCCAGTGGTATTTTAGTCTCCTTAAGTGCTTTTTCAGAAGGAGTAGAAGAGAACTAAAAGCCAAACAAACCAAAATAAAAGAACTCCCAAATTCAAGCGAGCAAATAAGAAACACTGATAGCTGTATAATTTGTTAGGCTCTTCCTATTTGTATTGCTGCTCGTCCTGTGGTGCTTCAGAAAGGAAGAAGTCTTGCACACCTCCCTCTGATAGAGCTCTTCCTATGCTCACATACCTCTGCTACTACAGGGAGAGCTGTTACTGGTATGTTTTTTAGCTGTAGTACCCTCTGGTACAGTGCAGTACGTACCCTGCCACTGCTGGCAGGTAAATACAAATGTACTCTCCTTCTATAATTAAACAGTCACTGTTTCATGCATCGGATTCATGTTGCTCTCATCCCTTCCTTTGGCTGCATCACTGCCAGGCTGCCCTGAAAGTTACATACTTGCAGATTTTACCACTTAAGCTAAGTAAGCGTGGCATTTCTGAAACACACTTTCAGGTTTAGTTACCAGCAGCCACTGGGTGTCAATGCTATAACCGATCTGGTTGAGGCGTGCAGCCCGTTTGCCTTGTTTATCACCGCTTCTCCACAGCTCATCTTGAGAAACGATTATTTTTATTTTTTGCAGTTTGGGAGCTGTTGGTTTGCTCGTGGTCTGGGGACCTGGTGTAGGTGCAGGCGTAGGGCTGGGAGCAAAGCCTGAGTCAGCGGAGGGCCCCGCAGAGGAGGAACATCGCTCAGCAGATGAGCACAGATTAGCAACCGACTTTTCTGCTGACAGAGGGAGCGCGGGTTCGCGTTAGAGCCTGGCACTGACTTAGGGCTGGGAGTACACTGTGCACTGGTGTGACGCAGTCTGAGAAAGAGGCGGTATTTTTTTTCCCCTTAAGTAAAACTTCGAGATACTTGGTCTTGTTGGGGTTTGCATATTTATGAGTGCAATAAGGCACCTTTCTAATTATACAAAAAATATATGGAACACACAAGAACTTAAAAAGAATGTATACTTTCTGCACAGTGGCAAGGCTGTGTTTCTTTCACCTAGAAGATGAGGGCTAAATGCTTGTGAGTATGTACTGTCCTGATTTAATACCTGATGCTGAGCTACTTTTTCATTTTTTACTGAATAAAGAAGTTCAAAAGTGTCAACATTATCTGTTAGGAGCTTGAAATAGCATCCAATTTATTCCAAATAAAAACATTAAAAAATGACTTTTAAAGTAAGAGTATAAGCTAAAGGTATTAACATAAAATTATTAGTAGCTTATTTAAGTAGGTAAAATTGTTCTCATTTATACATACAAAGTAGTTTATTCCAGACTTTCTTGTCACAAACTCTGCTTTATGAACTCTAAGGGAGCAAAGTCCCCATGAACTCCCATGGTGTAGCTGCCTTGAATGAAGCACTTGAGATGTGCTCTGCCAGACCTGCTTCGTTATTGGTTGTGAATGAGTACCGATAGTGACTGGTGTTGCTCAGAGAAAGCAGAAGCCAAGAACAAAGAAATTGTTGTGAAAGTTGCACAGAAGAATGAAACTTTTCTCCTAGTAGTAGTCAGGTGAAAGCAACATTTTTCCTTTCCTGTGATAGTGGGAGACACACGAGAGAGAAGAACTTCAATGCAGCTGTAGATAACTCTTCCTTTACTTAAATCTGATAGCTTTTTGGCTAATCATCATATATAAAACATCTCTGTGATGTGCATATTTCATGATGTCTTTGCTTTATGGCAGGTGTGGGGATTTATTGTGAAGGTCTTGTCACAGTTAAGCTTCCTTGAATGGTCTCATCCTTTTAGCCTGCTTTTGAAAATGGGTTCAAATAAAAACCTGTAACTTTCTTAAACAGAAAACATGGAGTTTTGATGTCACTCATCTGTTGGTGGATGTGTTGTTGATTTTTCACAGTGGCAGGTGCTAAGGTCACACGAGCATGTACACCTCCTCGACTTCTAGTCCCAAGGAAACTTGATCACCTAAATGCATTTGTTGCCATTACTGAAGGAATGAGAATAGATATCTAGCTGCAGAAGGATGAGTGTATGTAAGCTGCAAAGCCTGAGGACAAAACAGGCATGGGACATGGCCTTTCCATAGGAGTACTTGGTGGTCAGCACTCTCTTCTGTAGTGTATGGGTCTCTATGCAAAATGAATTTTGGGTTGCGGTGTATTTGATTTGAAAGCCACATATAGTAAAAAATGTTAGAAAGGCTGAGAAATCAAGAATAATCTTCGATGAAGCTGTTTGAAGCTTTTGAATTTAGATAATGAACAATTTATATTGTGAAAATTTGTATGATTTATTTAAAGTGACTATATAGAATCACAGAGTCATAGAGTAGTTTGGATTAACTTAACTATCATCTTTGTGAGGTTTTTATTATGCTTTTTTTTTTTTAGGTGGAAATAACACAATTGAATTGTGCTCAACTGAATTGAAGTTTGCATTTAATTGCTGTGTTTTCCCTCAGTACTGGTTGCATACCTGTAGTCATTTACCTCTGTCCCTTTAGATGTTTCCCTAGGTGATTTGTGCCCCCCCCAGCACCATGCATATGCAGATACAAGTGTGTATGTTTGGTTTTCTGTTTATGGATTCTGTCAAGGTAAATGCTATTACAGTCATACCTTTTTACATGTGGTGCTAGTAATAGCCTCGACAGCTGGAAGCTGTAGTTGAGTTTGCTCTGCCATGACACCTGGCCTCAGCTGGGGCATGCTCAGAGAAATGGCCACGCCAGTTCCAACCTCTGCCGACCCTGTTGGGAGAAAACTATTTCGTGTCCTGCATACCTGCTTGCTGCCAACAAAATGTCTCTTGTAGCAACCTACGTTGTCTGTGAGTCACCAGCTTGCACTTTGCTTAGTTTCAGATATGAAAGTTCAACTTAGTCTTTGCAGGTGCAAGGTGATCTCCTTGCTTGTGCCTGAGTAACTCATGGCAAAGCTATATCACAACGTTTATTGAAACAAACTGTTTGTTCCTTTTAAACTTAAATTTTGTTTCTTCTGTTACATTTGTCCTTTTGACCTCAGCTCTTGCTTGAAGGAAAAAGTCTTTTCTGGCCTCAAACCTATATGATGCTGCCCTGGTTTTGGGGGCAGGGGGTGGGCTTCCCTGGCCCTGTCCTGCAGGCAGGCCGAGGCCAGGACAGACTGAGCCACCTCTCAGCAGCTGGGATGCTCAAGATACGCCCATTGCCAGTGGCTTGTGCCATCTGGTCCAATGTGCCCCAGCGTTCATCAGTGGTTTTGAGCTTCCCATCAGGGCCTTGAATTATGTGTTAATTGTCTTTTAATTTTCTTTGCCCATTTTCTATTTGCT